TATTGCACTTTCACCAGTAAGCACAAATCGATAGAATGTGGACTCTTGTGTATTTTACCTCATCTAGTCTACAGATTTATTATAGGCATTTTATTATATAAACTCAGGGCTCGCAAAATCGCTAGCTCGACGTCCCGGGGCTATTATGTTTTCCAGTCGGGCTACCAAAATGTTTCACCGCTCTGCCCGACGGGCTATCTTACATGCAGATAAAAAACTCCTTAAACACTCCTCAAGTGAGTTGTATCAAACTTAAGGCCATACAAAGTTTTAAATACGTTAAATGGTATAAGAAATGTCTTAATTATAATTTCAAGAGGTCTTACAGCTGGGGACGGAAAGACAAGCGTCGCGATACGGCTGGATTAAACTTGAGAAGGCAATGATGTCATTGAATAAATATGAGCGCTGCACGTTTTACGTCAAAACACGGCGCGGATGTCTTTATCTGAATGTGTCTGAAGGGAACAGACTGTCCTCAGAAACGTGTCCTTGGCATTTTAATTGAATTTCTCCTATAATTCCTGATAAAGCAGCGTTTATGAGCGCGGAGCTGCTTTGTGTGCAGCCGTTACCGGGGAAAACGCAGTATTTCAGCTCCTAAAGCGCCACCTCGTGGCAGAGAATGAATCTGCATTTCCAATTAGCTTTTCTTGCTGTTTATGGTCAGATCAATGCAAATATCAACTCATGATTTTACGCAGCAAACACACAGAGCTGTAAATGAGAAAGACATTAATGTGCCTTCTGAAAATCTAAACAATTAAGACGGTAATATTTATACGTTTTAAATTGACAATTTATATGCTTGATTTATCCCTTTTCATAAAAATGGTCTAAAGGCTGAAATGCTGTTGTATAAGATTTTAGTTTTTGTGAAAAGCTGTATCTGAACTGTAAATCATGTAATTTTATGGCTGTATGTAACCACAGACATTGTTCAACCCCACTCACACTGTTCATTTTACTTCTGCAGCTCTTAATATGGGTCATACATTGCCTTAAATTTATTTATTTTTAATTCTGCAGATACCCTGTAAACAGTGAAATAAAATTCCTTCCTTCATATTTGTGTATTGAAAATATTTTTGATTGACATTTAAACTCCTATCTGATTTTCTATATTTAAAAAAAAAAGGTATTATTTTATTTGGGCTAATTAAATTCATTTTCGGGCTACCAAAATCTGAAGAGTACCTGCCTTGAAATTCCAAGTAATTCCAAATGGTAATAGTCTATTTCTCTATTAAAACAACAGCGGTCGAGTAAGTGCATTTATACAGCGATCACAATCGCAAACAATACAGTCGAGATCTCATGACAGA